CCCCCCCACACACACACACTTTTAAAATGGTTCTGACACAAGGAAATAAGGAAAACAAAGATCTGCAGAAACTTTCAAGTAAAAAAATTTGTAATTTTCCTGGCCACCCCTCTGTGAGTAGTGGTCCCAGTCTGGCCACCCCTGAGAAAAATGTCTGGCTCCGCCACTGGTCCTGATTCAGTGGTTTTCATGTTATTTTCCCATGCATGTTTGTTAGATGGAATGTTTGACAAGACTACCCTTAAATGAAGTCACATGATACAATATGTGAGCGGAAAAGGACCAAAAAAAAAATAAGGCACCTGTCTTACAGTAATTTGTTTTTCAGTGGGAAGGCCCTGGTAGGAAGGGCTGGCTTATATATTGCACTTCCTTCATCAGAACAAAAAGGTGCTTCTGACCAAACACCTGAGATAACCCGAGAGGGGTTTTTATTGCCTTTGGATACCATTTTACAAAACAGGTAAGAAATTTTAACTACGGTAATGAGTGCAATAATTTTCTATCGTAAATTGAAGCCACCTGTAGACAGAGGTAGTGGATGGTGCTACATCTATTGATTCAACATCTACAGGATTGAATTTACTGCCTTTTTTGTGAATATAGAGCCTAAAAAAGCAGTTTTATAAATTAAAAAAAGGGAATTAATAAATTACCTGAGTGTCGAGACTAAAAACATAGCTTAGTTTTAATGCACATAAAATGAACAAAATGTACATTTAAGAGAGATGTGTGTGGAGCGAGTTAAAGTTTATGCAATCCCAGACTAAAAAACAAAATCTGTTTTTAATCAAGATGCTGCCTTCCTTGTTCCTGTTTAAAAGAAGACATTCCATAGATCTATTGAACTGTGACTCATGTCATTGTTTATAGATAAAAAAAAAATCTTACTTCATTTTGCACAATAGCTACAATTGTTTTTTAACACTTACCAGTGGCGCTTTAAGAAATCTTTTAATGGGGGTTGGCCGGTGAAAATCTTGGGGTGGCACCAAAACCACCATCCAGGTAGAATTTCAGATTTGTTCTGTTGTCATAAATTAGTTATTTGCCAAATACAGCAACACGGGAGTTAGGAAATCACATTCTGATTTGCAGGTCTAAGTTATTATTATTCTACTTCTATTAAGAACTTATCATAGACTTAAATATAGATAATTAGACTGAGCCCCGCCCATACCGTCCACTGGTAGCATCTGTGACAGCATGGAGGAGCAGAAATGGCGTCCAAAAACGGCAACAGCTCACAGCCTCCATAGAAAACAGCAAGCTGAACCGGATCTGTTTCACAGATTATCTGTCATGTTTTTTTTACAATAAATTAATAATTAAGTTAATTTCATTCAACAATCATGTAAAGCAGCAGATTTATACCAGAAAAATATWTAATTTATAAGTAACAATGATCTAAACCAGACCTGAAGTCAGCCTGTAACTTAGACTTTAGCTGAAAAATGATGACTTCAGCTAGTAATAAAGTAGGCTATATTTATTATTTCTTCTCACTGTCATAAAAAATAAGAATATTTATATTTACCAGTCAACAGTTAGAAAATGTTCTCTGGTTATAGGATGAAACTTGTCTCTGTTAGCTAACATCTTCTTAACAAGTCAGGTTCCTCTAACAGAAACCTAAAATTACTCACATTTATGTTATTATTTTACACTCTGTAGGTCTAAATATTAATCAGAAGACAAAGTAATATTTAATAGTTTGTGTTAAATTGTAGCATGATTCAACAGTGCTAAACTTTATATGCTCCACAAGCTAATTTCTGCTAACCAGTTCAATAAATAACAGTGATTACATGGACTTTATAAGATCATTTTAATTTTAAACTGTTACATTATGTTCTGCTCAGATCACATTGAGCTAAATAAGATCACATCTGCTTACTTGTGTTGTGAAATGAGACGTTTTCCTGTTTATCTTCTGTTAATAAATCCATAACTCAAACAGCTTTTCTGACATTATTTAAAACATTAGATAGATTATATAAACTGTAAAATATTAATAATAATTGGGTTAATATTATTATTAATAATTTTTATGATTTCTGCATCGTCAGTCCTTTTTCTTCTGCTCTGTTGTCAACATGTACAGTAATGGGAAATCCAGACTCTTGACCGTTTAGCGTTAGCCGTTAGCTTCACCAGCCGATCACACGGTCACCTGGTTTCTGAGCTCCAGCTGTTCTATAGAAACTCATTGGAACTTATCAAATTAACTTTATTTGCAACACCATGTTAGGTTAATCTTTTTTAACCAGTTAAGACTTCTTGTGTTTGCAGGCAAAATGAGAGACATGCTGGTGAAACTGAAGACCATCAATGAGGAACAGGAGGGTCACAAAGGCGGGATTTCTGAAAAGGATTTTTATGGAGACAACGGAACTCTGCTTCAGCAGGCTGTCCTTTTTGAGAAGTCCTCACCTGTGGAGAACATCCTAAAGGAGGCCAACACAATACGCAGGGAGATCGCCTCGCTTCGCTCCGAGGTGCAACGTCTAAACGCCAACAACGAACGCTACGCCACAACTGTCACCTGCCTCTCCCTTCTGAAAAAGGACTCGGATGCCATCGCTAGAAGAATCCAGCATCGAGGCGAGTCGGTGTACGCCCGTTTACAGGCTCTGGGTAAGAACTGCAAACAGCTAGAGGAGCAAGAGGGCGCCAGCTCGGCCGTTTGTCGCATTGCCCGCGCCCAGTACGACACGCTGACCCATGCCTTCCAATCTGCGATGAGCGACTACAACACGGCTGAGGACAAGCAGAGGAATATATGCAGGAAGAGGATCAAGAGGCAAGCCTCCATCCTGGGGAAACACATCAGCGATGAGCAGCTGGACGTGATGGTGGAAAAGGGTGGCGAGGGCTGGACGGAGCTGTCCCAGGACTTTCACCCGCAGGGTGTAGGCTCGTGCCGTATGGCCATGTGCGACATCAAAGGCAGACACAAGGAGCTGGTGGAGCTGGAGGCCCGGCTGAAGCAGGTCCACGAGCTGTTCCTGCAGACGGCTACACTGGTGGAGGAACAGGGATCCATTTTAAATAGCATCGAGGTCAACGTGCGCCGCGTCGAGGAGCACAGTGAAAACATCAACTGTAATATGAAAAGGGCCATACATTACAAGAAGAAGAACCCCTTTTTACAGTGCTGTCCCTGTCTGCCATGCTGGGGACAACAGAATTTCTTTTAGGAGCTGGTTTATGCAACTAACAGAATGAAGAAAAAATAAAAATCAACTTAAGTAAAGGAAACTGAACCATGAAAAGGTTATGAAGCTTCCTGATTTATGAAGCAAAAGTAATCTGTATTACTATTACAATTTCAAGGTAATTTTTAAAATATTTTCTTTCTTATTGCTGATGATCTAAAACTTACGATCACTTGAATAAATACACAAGAAAATATTCTAAAGGGAAAATGTTTCAGGTCGAATAATAACTTTGTTTTAAGCTGTTCAGTGACACAAAATAAATGCTGTTTAAGTAAATCTTATTTGACTAAACGCTGATTTTATTACTTGAGCACTGACTTAATTCATGGGAATAAAGTGTAGACATTCTTTAAATGCTGGTGTTGTGAGAAGAAATTTATCCACTTTTCCTTTCGTTTCTGGGCCACGGAGATAATAA